CATGGTACCTGACTACATCCTTGCCTGAGTGCCTTCCCTGATTTCCCTCAGTTATAGACAGTGATTGAGACATGTGCACCCAACGAACACTGTCTGCCACAAGCTGCGCTGGGTTACTGTCTATCACAGCAACAGAAAGTGGGAAGGAAAAGCGTGAAGTGAAAGAGGAGAGGGAGTTTAGGAAGGTCGGTGGGAAAAGAAGGGATGAGAATAAAGTCTAACGACGCATATGGATGAAGATGCCACGATAAACCTATTGATTTTTATGCCATCTTCAAATTAATAAAATGATTTCTAATAAAATGGTATATATTAATAAAACCAGAAAAATCTTAGCATGTCTAAAAAAGACCAAGCTATCTGACCAAGGCAAATGAATCAGGGGCTCTGGAAGTGAGCCCACTGGAGGGAGTGATTTCTCACCCACCCCAGCACTGAACCTAGTGAAGGTAGAATTCCTCCAATCTACCGCCAGCCTCAAATAGAAGCAGATGCTGCAAATTCAAGTCTACTTTGCTGACATGGTTCCTTTTTGATCTCTAAGGGACTCCTTCAGAGCTTGTACGTTCCCTTAGCACTAATAAAGATCCTCCTAGCACGACAGACCACCTTCATGACTTAGGTAGCAGTGAATACCTTTAGGAAAGAGCATCTGAGTATAGGAGGTAGAACATCCGCGCCCTCCCCTCATGGTTGCTACCAGGGTCTTCGGGGTCATGGTGTATGGCGGTGATTCTCAACTTTCCTAATGCTTCGACTCTCACGTTGTGGTGACTCTCATTCATAAAATTATTTTTGTTGCTACTTCATAACTGTAGTTTTGCTACTGTTGTGAACTGTAAATATCTGATATCTGATGTCTGATATGCCAACCTGAGGGGGATCATCACCATCAGGTTGAGAACCACTGGTCCAGAGGCTTCGGAGATGGTTACAAACCTTCTTGGTCTCCTGGGCATATAAGGTCTCTTGAACTTGTCTGGATATAGAAATATGAACTGAGAATCCATAGCTGACAAAATTCCCAGGAGCCGGTTGGAGTTGCTTCCTGAGCCGTGGGATCTAGAACAGTGACTGCTAGTCTCCAGTGTCTGTCCACGGCACTCCCTTGGGAGCTTTGCCATGCCCTCGATGTTAGGCCCAGGGGTGTGGTGGGATGAGTGAAGGCCATAGTATGGAATAAGCCCAAACCATTAATAACCCCTTTCCTTTTAAACAAGCTACTGTTAAGAGTAAATTTGCTATAATTTCCAGAGGGCTTTTGGCTATCTGTACTACAATTAGGAAACAGAAAACCCAACCAACAGAAACATAGTGAAACCACAGACTAAACCGCCACTCTGTTAGAATAATTCATTCCCTGCCCCCTCCCCAAAATAAGCACTATCCAGCCAGAATGTACTCCTGCACACTATGGCCATGGGCAATCAGAATCCTCCAAAGGGCCAAAGAAAATAACCCCCCGATCCTCCTCTTCAGCAAGTACCCTCTCACGTATCTCCATTGCCAGAACAGACAACCCGTGAGTACAGGACAAATGTGTTTATAAAATTCAACCAAGTTTTGTTGTAGTATGGTCTATGAGGAAAGAGCTGGTTTCTTTTTAAAATATATTTTTAAAAATAAAGATAAAGAATAGGCAAGAAGAAGCAACACCCAAAATACATACAACATTGTAACTCATAGGAAAAGCTTGCCAATTGTCTCCTTACCTGGTGGCCAGGTCTTAGCGCTTTGAACAGACAACCAAAATCTGAGATCATTAGTGATACCTTGGGCCCCAAGAGAAAAGTCTATGTTCCTGGTCAATTTCTGTCACATCTAAGGCCCAGTCTGCGGGAGGCTTATCAGTGTTGATGAGCAGGGCACAGTGTGAGACGTCCAGGGAGCTTCCCTCGCTCTCCTGCTCCAAGGATGGTGACAGGAAAAAAAAAAAAAGAATGAAGTTTAGCCAAAACGTTCCTATCTTAAACTACAACAAAAGTTTTGGAAGTTATGGTGCAGGTTATGAAGGCCAAGAATCCCACTTCTCTCCTGGAGCCTTGGTAACCGCACGCCTCGTGGGTTGTTTCTGTCCGTCAGTCCCATCCTGATGTCCCATAAGGCCATCAAAGACACACTCATGTCCTTCTACCTTTTATGCTTACTAGTCTGTGGTCCTAGCACGAGTAGACGAAGCCCTTGGAAGGGATGACCCTGCTTCCTCCCACTCTGGGAACTGAGTGGCTCTATCATGAAGCCCTGTTCTTCATAGCCTCAGTTTTCCTTCAGTTCTGTGCAACTGACGAGTTCCAGAGAATTGGGGAAAGCAAAAACAAATGGATAAGCATGCTTTCTTCCTCATGGGCCCTGAGAGTTCCTCACGGGAACTGTATTAAAGGGCTGCAGTGTTAAGAGGGATGCCCCCAGAGCTTCTATCTCTTTCCCTATAGGCCAGAGGGTTTCAACCTGTGTGACGTCACTCCTTTGAGGGTTGAATGACCCTTTCACATCGATCTTCAAGCACTATTGAAAATATCAGATAGTTACCTTATGATTTGTAACAGTAGTACAATTACAGTTATGAAGTAGCAATGAAAATAAATTTATGGTTAGGAGTTAACACTGTAAGGGGCCCCTCTCAGAGTCTGCACAGAACACACTCAGACACCAAGAGGGGCTGCGGTGGGGGTGCCTATGGATAGGACAAAGACAGAAATCGGGAGCTTTTGCAGGAGTGGATTTTTAAGGAGAAAAAGGGGGAAAGACTGTATCAAGATGAATTGGTAAATCCTCATTGCACGGGTTAGCCAGTGTAGGCAAATAATGAATTTTGATTCCTGGATCTTTGGTGTTTTGATAGTTAGACTTTGTGAGTCTCAGGACTGAGTCAGTGGCCAAATAAGTGAATAGACGTCGGGGGCTAGCTTTAGGAATGTACTCTAATGGTTTAGCAAGACAGAGACAATGGGGAAGAGGAGGTCTGCTGGTGCCATGTTTGCCATGCTCAGGGCTGTTAAAGAGTCCTTCAAATGCAGCGTAAGGAACTGTATTAAAGGGCCGCAGTGTTAGGAGGGTTGAGAACCTCTTCTTCTGTAGACTGTGGTCTCTGCTGTTCTGTGCAGCTTGCCCAAAAATGAGTTTAGAAAGTCCAACAATGTTCAAGAGTGCCGTTTACTCTGTGACTCATGACCCTTCCTACAGGACTTTGTGTTCAAGAAGTCTTTGAAAAAGTGAACATGCTGGCTAACCTCAGAAGTACTCAAACCACCTCTCTGTCTCCTACTTCCTTTATCCTCATTCAGATATCTGTGTTCACTTCAGGAGGGCAAGATGACCAGGTAGGTGCAGGAGGCCTGGGAGGTCAGTGACTGAGATCAGAATAGAACTCAGAATCACAGCGCTTGAGAGGCAGAGGCAAGCAGATCTCTAAATTCCAGGCCATCCTGGTCTACATCGTGAATCCCAGGATACCCAAGGCCACATAGAGAGACTGTCTGAAAACAAAGCAGAAAACAATAGGACTCAAGGTTCTGATTTCCTAGGTCTTTCTGTGGCTCTTGCATCCACTGGAAATCTCTCAGGGCATGTGTACACACAGGAGTGGTTGCAAACCACTGAGACATGCTTTGAAAAAAGCACCTGAGCAGCTACTGTCCCACTGATGGTAGAGTTGGTCACATACAATTCTGAGGACATTGTTTCTCTTTTACTTTGTTTTGATCCCAGTCACCTTAGAAACTAGATGAAAAGATTCACACTTAATGATTCTAAAACTCTACTGAACTTCATAGTCATAAAAAGCAACACTGTTTTTTCTTTCCATCTCTGCAGTGGTTAACTGTGGGCGGTGTTTAGCTTTTTTGAGAAGGCAAGTTTATCAGTTTCAAACCACTGTGACAAATGTCTGAGAGAGTGACTTGGAAGATTTATTTTGGGACCTGGTTTGGGTCATGATCAGTTGAATCTAATGCTGTGGTCCTTTGGTGAGGCAGAACACCACAGCAGAATTAGTGTGGGGGTCCCAAGTAGCATACTTCAGGGAAGCCCAGAAAAAGAGGGAGATGGGGAGAGGTGCAGTGCAAGAGATGTGCCCAAAGGCACCCTTCCCCACTTGTAATTTATATCCTCCAACCAAGCTCCACCTCTTAAATTTCTTACCATCTCCCAAAATAGCAAGGCTAACTTCAGACCAGTCTGGGAGACATTTCACGTTCAAGCCACAATAGCTATAGCTGGAGCTCATGGTTGGATCTACATACTAGCTGCACAACTTTTGTTCATGCTACTATTCTATAGCTGTGCTTTCCCAGGGGGGTAGACTGCAGCCACTTTATCCCTCCCCTCTCCTCCCGCCCCCTTGGTTTTTGAACCTTCTGAAAAATCTCATGTAGGGTACACATCTGCTATTCAATGAGAGAGGATAGGCCACACAAGCAGATGGTTTATTTTCCTGGATACCAAGTCTGTGCAATGGAGCGGTTCAAACCTGCGAGAGCCATAGTTTTCCCAGGATTGTCTGAATCCACATCCTTGCCTGCTCTCCTTCTCAAGAGCTCTGAGAGGGAGGGAAGAAGCAAGAGTCTCAACCTTGGATGAGGAGGATGAGTACAGGGCAGTAGTCACCTCTGTTTCTCCTCTCTGGTTCTAGGTGAAGGCTACATCACCTGCCTTCACTGCTTAAAGCAATGGCCCCCTCCCCACCCTGCAAGCCTTCCAGCTTTTCACATTCACTGAATATAACTTATATGTTTAAAAAAAAAAGACATGTATTTGTTTGTTTGTTTGTTTGAGACAGGGTTTCTCTGTGTAGCCCTGCCTGTCCTGGAACTCACTCTGTAGACCAGGCTAGCCTCGAACTCAGAAATCCGCCTGCCTCTGCCTCCCAAGTGCTGGGATTAAAGGCGTGCGCCACCACCGCCCGGCGAAAGGCATGTATTAAAAAAAACAGCATTGACTTAAAATATAGCTCCCCTTCTTTCAACACTAAAATTAGAAGGAATGGTTCTGTTTTTTTTTTCTTTCTTTCTGTATTTATTTCATTTTTGCTTTTGAGATACAAAGAAACCATTCTCTTCCACCACACACATACACACACAAACATCCATTCTTGTGATTTTAAAGTGCAGTTCCCCTCTACCAATGTATACAAAAATATTTCCTACAAACATGCAGAAGTTTCTGAACAAGGCACATTTAGGCATACACTGTCGGCAAGCCCGTCAGTTGGATGTTCACATTAAAGCAAAAGTGTAACATCATCACGTGTGCATTCTAGAAGTCCTCGTGCCCCAGGGGTCTCTGGGAACTAGCAGCAAAACTGTGGAAATGCATACAGCTTTGCTGGTGGAACTGGGGATACCTCAGCAGGAGAAACCAGTACTCTCTTGCCTGCTGTCCTCCACGATGCCAAATTGTCTTTGAGTGACTCTGGAAGATCCTGTTATAGGTAAGATGGCAGGATTTCTGGAACATCTTATCTGCAGCTTCTGTGATCATGCCAGGAGACACGGTTGAGTGCAGAGCTTCCCCAAAACAAGGAGCCATCAAGCTTACATCTCAGGGATAAAATAACTCCCACCACTGACTCAAGTTGTTTCAGTTTCTACAGAATTACAGACTTCCATTATGTCTTCCTAGCTTTCTAGAAAGAATTCTAACAACACTCAAATGCTTCTTGCAAGAAACATGGAGAGTGTGTCTTATGGTCTAGTTTATTTATTGTAACCATTCTGCAAAAGTGCCCCAGGGAATTTGGGGAAATAAATATGGAACAAAGAATGGAGTTGCCTTCCCTTCCTGGATCACTGTGTCTGGGGGTTAGGGTCCATCCATCACTATAACCAAGAATTGCATGAAGGCAGATCTCCGGGTCAAGCAAGGGGCCTGTCATCTTCTGAGGTGTGTAAATTTGTCTACAATGGTGAACTCTGAACAAAGCATAGAGTTTCTCAGTGCAGCTCCTGAGGCTATCTCAGAGTCATGGGACAGGCTGGGTCAAAAGGAGAAGGGCTGTGCTGGAGGAAAAAAACAGAAGAAAGACTCTTCAGTCTCTGAGTGACAGCCTTGATAAGGAAGTCAAGCACACAGGCTGCTTCATTGGGAAGGGTCCTGGCAAACAGGCGAAGACAAGCCCTTTGAGCTGAGCAGTGGGGGGTGGGGGGCAAGGGGTGTACCCAAGGTGTGCTGGCTGGGGGCTTTCAACCAGTGCCCATGAGCAAGAAAACTGGAGAAAATATGGGCAAAAAGGGGGTGAGGGTATGTCTGCTTTAGGAGAGATACATAACATGGAATTACCATATTTCATATTTTTGACACGGAATGTCTGAAGATCATCATTCCACACCACTGAACAGACTTCATTCTGTGGTTACCCTTTTATGATCTTTAGTCTGCAGCTATGTAAGTTACAGTGCCCCTGGCTGCCTTCCTTCTTAACACAAAATGCAGGACCCATAAGAGATCAGTTTTGCTTCCATCCAATTTAAATCTAGCTGCTCTGATCACCAAATCCAGAACATTTAAAATACACTCATATGGGAAATATATGGTATGCTTAGATAAAACACGCCGCCCCCGCCCCCGCCCCCCTCCTCCGCCTAGGTTCAGCCTCACATACAAAGGTGATTTCTTCACAGATATCAGCATGCAACCCCAGATTGGTACCCATCTGGGAGAGGCACAATATACAAAGCACAGATTACAGACTAGTACCAGTTTTAGGAATAAGAAATCATAGAAAATAACATTTAAAAAGTCAAAACACTTTAAACTTCAAAAGTGAAAAAGTTAAGATAAAAAATAAACCACACATGCTAGGATCAAAAACATTTGACATCTGCCTGATGCTAACTTAGGAAGCCAGAGGGCACGGGGCTCCGTCTGGTGGCCCCGCCTCTGAACCTATGAGACTCTATGTTCCTTTCCCTGTCTCAGGGAAACATCACTTCAGTAAGAAAATTAAGCAGACATCTTTTACCAAACATCCGAAACCAAACAACACCCCTAAATTTCTACAAATATGTGTGTAAAAATAGTTTTCAAACTCCCCTATAACTTTAATTTGCCCTAGAGAAAAATCACAGGGTTTGGGGGTTCACCCGACAGTAAGAGCTCCAAGAGTCTCACACTAGCGTATGATAATGCAATCCAATATGGCTAAGAAAAATTCATCTGATACCTCAGAGTTGACAAACATTTAAAATAACAGAAAAACGTGGTGAGGTTTGTTTTTTTTCCCTCCCCTATCTTTTCATAATACACACCATAAATAAAAACACCCAATGAATGTCCTTGGGGGTTCGTTAAAGCATCCTGAAGATGAATGCATATTGCAAACAAATCTAAGTGTATTCTGGAGGACTTGAGGCTATGCCAGTCTTGCTCTTTGAAAGTCTCAGACAAGGCGTTGAAGTGGACACTCCAGGAGATTCGAGAACTAGGACTCTCTCAAAGGAAAGCAGCTCCCACACCCGCCAGGCAAGTAGAAATGAATCTTGTCATTGAGTCTTCTGGTAACGCGGGGTGAAACTGAGTGCTTCGGAAGCTCCCCCAAAATCCAAGAGGAAAAGCTAAAAGTTCAGACCATCCTACCTTGTCCCAGTGCTGTACCCCATGACCCCACACAGGAACCAATGACTTTCCAGTAACTAATATGCTGCTCTCTTCTGGAATATAAAGGAGAGGTCAGGAGAGAGCGGAGGGGATGCCTATTCCAGACACAAGCTACTTATTTGCTTTGACTATCTTGTCCAGATCATGGGATAGACTGAGTAGGAGGTGGAAATGTAGCGAGAGAACTTGCACAGAAAGCAGCTGTCCCGTCCCTCTTCTGAGGCTGCTGGGTATCAGGCCAGTGTGTCACAGAACTGAGGTGGCTCCCTCCGAGTACATGTGGAATGAAGGGGACACATGGAAAGCCATGAGCAGGGGCAGGACCTTCGAGGTCAATGATAAGGCTAGAAAAGGCTGGAGACTAAGGTTTCTGGGTGACTTTCGAAGTCCAAGTGTGGAAGAGAGGCCAGCTTCCTCTGTCCTTGCCAGCTTGGCTCTTCTCCAGACTCTTCTGGCACCATTCTATTCATTCCCTTGCGGCCAACCCGGATGTCACAGAAGATCAGCACGCCTCCTCTCCTCTGAGCTAGGAGCCAGGTGTGATAGAAACATGCTGGACTTGCTGGTTTAAGAAAAAGGTGAACGGGATCCTGTCTTTTCAAAAACCACGCCTAAAGGCAGTTCAACTTCCCTCTGGCCTTGTGATCTCTCCCCCATCTTGATCAGAGCCATGGACTGTCAACTGCAGTCACTAGTAATAAGGCCCTAGCTTTTCATATCCCAGATAACTAGGCCACTCTGGAAACAGGCCGAAGGAACACCGAGGGCTCCCAAACTGGTCAAAAGAGATTCCAAAATCTGGTCCATTGTACGGCTCAATCACTCCCGGAGTGGATCGGAGTTCAGCCCGGATGATCCTGTAATTTTTGCCTTTGTTGCTGTCCCAGTACGCCTGGCCATTACACTCATAGCACACGGCAAACTCCATTCTTTCATAGGACTGAATTTTCTCGGGTAAGCTGATGTCAAAGGAGAACGTGTCCCTGTCTGAACCAGCATAAGTGTCCTTCACATACTGACAAGGGAAGTCTGTGAAGCTTTTCCAGGTGTCAAATGTCATCCTGATCTTCACAACCTTCTCGAATGCCAGGTTCTGGACCTTCACGGTGCCTGCGATGGCTTTATCCTTCAGCACACAGTTTTCGAGGCAGACATGGTTGGTCTGAAGTCGATTTCTAAAGTCTAAGTAATCTGCAGAAGGCTGAGGGAAATCCAAAACAAAGCTTTCACTCTCTGCTGTCGTCAGACTCACGATGTTGTCTAGGAGCTCGGTGATGTTAAACGGTATATCTAGTGGGTCATCGAATTCCGAGAACACTTTCACCATTGTCAGGGCCAGCCCCTGGTTGTCGGCGAAAGACACCCGCTTCTTCACCTTCTTCTCCTGAACCGCAGGGGCCACCATCCCGTTGGCTTCATCCTTGCTGCCCAGCTGAATACAAGGCCTCAGTGGCTTGCTCAGTTTTGGGGAGATCTTGAAGGTGAAACGCTCTCTGCGTAGAGAAGGGGCCATACTGCTGTAGCTGTATTCTATGTCCACAGCCATCACGCTAGACGAGCAGGCTAGAAGTCTGGGAAAAGGGAGATGAGAGAAAACAGTGAAGAGGTCAGATAGATGCTTAAACCCTCATTCTGGCACAGACGGACAATGTTGCCTTTCATCTGGGCTCAGTGCTCCCATGTGGTCTCTCTCACAGGACACAGGTCTCTGCAAAGACTGTGTGGAAGGGGGCATGAACTGGGGGCCTGGGAGGGGTGGAAAGAGAAGCTAAGAGTAAAACCAACAAGGAAAAGACTATGGAACTCAGCAGTTTGAAGGCTAATTCTTGGGTTTTTCTACCAGGATGTCTTGGATCCTCCTGTATGTTAATATACCACAGAGAAGAATGAAAGATATTAACAATCAGTTTCCTGCAAGGTGTGTGAGGTGGGGGTGGGGGGAGCATGCCTTTCATCCTAACACTTGGGAGGCAGAGTCAAGTGGATTCTGAATTTGAGGCCAGCCTGGTCTACAGATTGAGTTTCAGGGCTACACTGAGAGATCCTGTCTTGAAAGCAAAAGAATTATGGTTTCCTATTGTTTGCAGAATTACTTATTTGACTAAAAGACATCCTCCCTTTTGGAGTATATACCCCACAAACAGTTGATTTGAGGATTGTTTTTGCTATACACTGTAGACTATCATTTGACAAATAAAAACTTTATATTTCCAGGCTGGTGAGATGCCTCAGAGTAATCCCTGTGACCCTTATATTTGATGGGAGAAACCAGTACCTACAAGTTGTCCTTTGACTTTTACAAACACTGAGTGGACCACACTTACACATACTAAATGAATAAATGCAATAAAAATGCTGTTTTGACATATGTACACATTGTGGAATGGCTGACACACTTAACATGCATTTGCTCACATACTTGGGAGGTGTGGTGAGAATATTTAAAATCTACCCTAAGCAATTTTCAGGTACACAGTGTTATTAATGATAGCCACTGTGATGCAATGGATCCCTTAAATGTATTCCTCCTTTGGAATTAAAGATTTATATCTTTTGATGGATGTTTCCCTAGTTCCTCAGTGCCCACCATCTGGCAGCCACTGTTCTATTACATATTCAGCATGCTCAACTTCTTCGATTCGACAAGAGTACGTCCACTTGTCTTTCTGTAGCTGGCTTATTGCACTTAGCGCAGTGCCCACCAAGCTCCTCTCCATGTTTCTACAATGACACCTCTTCATTCTTGTCTGTGGCTGAACAGTTCTCCACTGTCTATTCACACCACATGGTCTTTGTGCATTCATTCCCTGAGAGTGCAGCTACATGAATACAGGACTATAAATGTCACCTCAACATACTGATTTCCTATCCCTTGAATGCACACCCTGTAGTAGGATCACTGGGTCACGTAGTCATTTTTTTTTAAGATTTATTTATTTATTTATTTATTTATTTATTTATTTATTTATTTATTTATTTTATGTATGTGAGAACACTGTTGCTGTCTTCAGACACACCAGAAGAGAGGACATCAGATCCCATTACAGAGGGTTGTGAGCCATCGTGTGGCTGCTGGGATTTGAACTCGGGACCTCTGAAAGAGCAGTCAGTACTCTTAACCGCTGAGCCATCTCTCCAGCCCTAGTCATTTTATTTTTAATTTTTCGAGAAACACCATGGAATTTTCTGTAGTGGCCGCATTATAATTTTGAAAGATAACCATTCTAATAGGTATAAAGTGTGATCTTCTCATGGCTTGAATAATAAATACTGACTTAATCTAATATAAAAGCATCAAATTTCTAACACAAATATTGACTTGGTGTTTGCCATGCAGGCACTATGCTGTTTATACACTGAGACACACTGATGAGAGTGGACACAGACTTATTTTCACCAAACTTATAGGAGGTTTTAATGTTCTAGTATAACTTTCCTTAGAAACAGAATGAGCAGTTCATTTTTTTATACCATGACATACAAGTAGGTATTTGTCTTGCCTATAGGTAATAACAGTTGTCATAAGAATTAAAAGCAGTCCAGAGGTGGTGATGGCAGAGACAGCACTAGGGAGGCAGAGGCAGGCAGATCTCTTGAGTTCGAGGCCAGCCTGATCTACAGAGGGAGTTCTGGGATAGCCAGGGCTAAGGAGAAAATCTATTTTCTGTATAGTGAAACTCTTGTCTATAGAAAATCAGTTAAATTCAAAAATAAAGAAAATTTATATTAGAAATGCCTAGTAGATTAGGAAAGGAATTATGAGACAAGTTTTTTTTAATTATGAAAATTGGCATAATCTAAATGTCCTTATCATTTTCATTCTGATAGCATATATCATTTGCCCTAAATAAATTATTGAAATGTAAAGAAATTAACAGAAATAGAAATAACGAGAACGCCTACTGAGGACGCCTCATAAAATCAACTGCGCCATATCATTTAATTTTACACCACTAACTTCATTATTTGTAAAAGTATTTAAATGGCGTGGACATTCTCACTTATGCTTTGGACTTTGTATTTTTACTTTTGGTGTTTTGAGAGAGGTCTCACTAACTCTGGTTAACCTGGAACTAGATATATAGACCAAGCCAGCCCCAGATTCCGAGATCTCCCTGCCTCTGCTGAGATTAGAGGTGTGGGCCACCATGCCTAGCTAACATCTTATCTTGGACTGTTAGTGTGAAAAGGAGTTGTACACAGATACCAGCCATGAGAGAAGATTGTATGGATATAGACAATCGAGTGGAGATACAGTTCACTCTCGTTGGTTTTCTTTCCCATGGCTTCAGCTCTTTTTAGCCAATCGTGGTTCAAAAAATAGTAAGATGAGAATTCCATAAGTAAGCAGTTGATAAGTTTAAACTCTGCAGCATCCATTCTGAGCTACAAGAGACCGTCCCACCTGGCAGAGTCCCGCTCCTTTCTTCAGGAGCCAATCTCCCCTTAGCCAACATAGCCATGATGGATCTATCTGCCATCAGCCCACCGGGGACTTACATCCATCTCGGGTATTAGACAGTCTCAGGATCCCAAGGCTGTTGTTCAAGGAACCTTTATTTTACTTAATAACAACCCAAAAGCACAAGGGCGGCTATGTATATGAGGCACTTGGGCCTATAACAGAGAGAGATGACCTCTGGAACTGTGGGGGGATGCTGTAGAAAGTATAGGAAATTCATAGAGTACTCGGGGTTTGGGGCTGCCTGGGAACCTTGTTACGTATGCCTTGTGCGTAGACAGCAGGGACCATTCTATGGTTAAAAATGTCAAACTGTGCATAGAACATGTTTCCTTAAAGTGTTTCCTGCTTTGTGTTTCCTTATGTCTTCTAAAACAATACTGCTTCTATGATCGGGAAGAAAAATGAACCTTAAGAAAACATTCCAAACCGCTCTGACACCTCACTAAAATCGCCCACCTTTTTACCCTTCTCCTTACGATGGCAGATTTATAGGACACTTAACAATGGTCTCAGATGAAGAAGCTAGTAATAAAACCTCAAATCTGTCTAGGTGGTTCATCGTCTTTAATCCTAGCATTCCATAGGCAGAGGCAGGAGGATCTTTGAGTTCAAGGACAACCTGGTGTACAGAGAGTCCCAGGACAGCAAGAGCTACACAGAGAAATTCTGTCCCGAAATGATAACAGCAACAACAACAACCCCTCAAAACTGAGATTAGTTTCCAATCTTCTGGCTCAAGAGAAGGAATGAGGCAGCCATAGGTGAGAGTGTATGGTGGCCGGGAGGAGACCGGCTCACAAGCTCACCATGGCTGCCCGACCAGTGGAATCTTTTGACAAGTTGCTCATCTTTTGACAAGTGCTGGGGAGACTATGCATTTGACCCGATAAAGACTCTTTCAACTTCTGAATCTAATTAACCAAATACATAGTGAAAAATAAATGGCTGGCAGTGGTGGTGCATGTCTTTGATCCCAGTACTTGGGAGGCAGAGGGAAGAGGATTTCTAAGGTCAGGGCCAGCCTGGTCTACAGAGCTAGTTCCAGGATAGCCAGGGCTAAGGAGAAATGCCCTTTTTAGGGAAAAACATCATCATCATCAACAACAACAACAAACAACAACAACAATCTCTAAGGTTAAGTAAGGCCAGCCTGGTCTACAGAGCTAGTTCCATGATAGCCAAGACTGAGGAGAAAATATTTTCAGGGAAAAACAGTAACAACAACACAAAAACTAACCAACCAACCAACCAAACAAAAATGACAAAAAAAAAAAAAAAAAAGAGAAAAGGGGAGAGGAGAGAGAACAAAGTGTATCAGGTATCCTCTTCACTTATCTTTTCTTCTTTCTTTTTTTCCCCTCTCGATACATTGGCTTTATGGATATAAGAAGTCTGGCTATCCTGCTTTGTCTCTGAATCTGTGCACTTTTCCAAGTGGCCATAGCTAAGGGCTTCTTGTACCCGAAAACCCAACGTCTCACTACTTCCCTTCTAGTGAAGGAAGTAATCAGGTGAAAAGCTTCAGAGCAAATTTGCCGGGTCTGTCTGATCTCACGTGCATGCTGTTCCTGGAAACTCGGACTGAACTGGCTTTACAAACGATCAACGGGTTGACCAACTCAATTTTTTTTTTAAGGACTCATTACTTAACAAATTGAGTTTTAGTTATTCATGTCTATTGCAAAATTTTATTAGAAATATTCCTCCTGTAGGCATTTCTCATTCTGTTTAAATATGCATTAAAACTGGACATCAGTTGCATAACAGCATGAGGTCCACACTCTGGCCCTTTCCCACTGCCCACCCTAGAAAAGCTGGGAGCAAATGGGGGAGAGAAGTTCCCCCCTGCTAGGCACTTAGTTCCTCCTGGCTTGAGTCAGCACGAGGATTAGAGTCCCTCTGCAGCTCCTCCAAGCTCTGGGACCAGCCTCAGGCATGCCTATCAAATGCTGAAAAGTTTTTTCTTAAACAGCTTGATGAAAAATTGGTGGAAAATTCTCAAGGGGAAGTGGATACCAAAGCTCACTAAAGATCACTCCCTTACAACCCAAGAGGACATATTCTTGCGTTCTAGTCCTGCAGGTTCAAGAGCGGAGCTGAGGCCATTGGTGAAGTTGTACAATTGGAGCCCAGGATTCAAACTTACAGTGGGGGCTCCCTTTAATACTAAATTGTGAGGACGAACAGAATTGAGGGTGGAGAGACAAGTTTCTAATCAGAGCCTGCGCTCAGGAGACAATCCCATTAACATATTCAAGAACTTTTTTTTTTTCAAAGATTCTTCCATGAAAGGCCAGTGTGAGGTTTCTGACAGCCCAGGAGTTACCACTGGGACTCCTGCCCTGTGAAATTGCATAAGCAGCCCCGGCTTGGAAACCCTTCCTTTTTTTTTTCTCTGGATATCATCATCACTACAGGTTAAGGGCATTTACCCTTGCGGCCTCTGTCAAGGGTGCGATGTGACGGTCGGTCGGTCAATCTCACAGAACATTCCAGCTTTTATTAACCTGATGCACATCCAAGTGTAATAAAGTGCTTGTTGGAGTTTAGCTTTCCTGACTTTCTTCTCGGGATGTCTCAACAGACTGTGATAGTGATCATGGTCACTTAGAAGTACTTCCAGAAACTGAGATAGTCCACCAATAGTTAAGTCCCCTAAAGGAAGACACCTGGACAGGTGCTTGAGAACACATTCACACCCACACATGCTTGTGTACACCAAAGCCGTTATACTGTCTCCAACACTGCCCCAGGCTCTCCTTCCACTGAGGAAACACGCAGAAGCACAGAGCACTAATGCACATTAGCCGGTAGAGCGACATAGGATCTGGACACTAGTTGCAGGACAGGATCCCGGGACCTTAAGGAACTGCTTCCCAAGGACAACCACACCTCTGCTTTCACGTGGGTGCCTCAGAAGTCAACTGCCTCCGAAGAGGGCCTGGGCTAAGTATGGGACGCTTGCAGAAATACCTTCTGTGTTCTAGTGAAATAACGTGGTCTCTCAAGATGCTGGCCAGCCTTAGAAGGCCAGTAATATTTCTTTTCAGCTTGACAAGTCTGAACAGAAAATATAGCCCCACAGCCAGCCTTCCTGGCTTCAGGCAATTGAGCGACTGAGTTTCTGACTGAGACTTTCTTTCTGCATCTCTTCCTCTCTGATGTTAAAACCAGGTTAACAATAACCCACCGCAACACTACATTAGATAAGTATCCACAACCAACCCACTGACACCACCATCCACTCCTAACCCCCTTCAGCAAATCTCGGCTCTCCCCAAACCTTTAGCTGATACTTTTACGTGTATGAAGTTGACATCGGTTCTCTTTTCTACACAGACCCGAATTATTCCAGCCTTAAGGTATACACCCCTCGATCCTTGGAGATAAATGTCTTTGAATAAGGAGGGGTTCGTAAAGAACAGTCAGGTAGCTTTGAATGAGACACCCCACAGGAGCTAATAATGGCCAAAGGCAGCAGGAAGCAACAGGCCTAAGAAGGCCTCTGCCCAACTGAGCTTTAACAAACGAAATCTCCCGGTTTAAATGTTTTCTTCTGAGATCACTTGCAGCTCCGACTTCCAGGGTTGCTAACAGGGCCCCGATGTTTCTCTTTCCACCAACTTTCCCCTAAATGGCCCTAGTTTACTTCAGCTGTCTCGACTTTCTCCCTGGCTCCTGGACATCTTTGCCAAAAGGACCAATTCCTTCCCTGCCTAGGCTGAAGAAGCCCTTCTCTCCCGGACACGCAAGCTGAGACAGGGCCACATTCCAACAACTCTACAAGTCCCCACTCAAGTCTTTTTTAGCTTTCTCTATTTCTCCGTGGGCCTGCCATCCACTTCTCTGAAACTGCTGCCCGGTTCACAGCCTCTTCTCTGGATCCAAAACCGTGGCTGTGAACAATTTCCTCGAAACAGGTCAGCGAGTCCCGATCCCACCAGCCACTCTCCGAGGGTGCTGTGCCTGCACCCCGCCCCCCAGTCTGCTTGGACTGGGTCTGCACCTACCTCTCCCGCGGCGCCGCAGCCGGGGCTACTGCTCGCTGGCCTCATGGGAGAGCCTGAGAGAAGTGACAGAGTTGACTGCTGCCACTGAACTACGTGAGCGTCGGGGTGTCCCGGGGGTAGGGCCTGGGCTTAGTTCCCGGAGACGAACTAGGAGGAGGAGCCCAAGTTATCACACCAGGGCGGGACCTGGCGGCGGGACAGCCCAGACAGGAGCAGCGCCTCACGAGCACCCCCACGCGGGCTGCCCGGTTCCCGGGTGGAGCTCACCCCAGGCCCATTGCCTTCCGAGACCCGAGACTGTCCAACGTGTGCCTCTTGCCTGTGTGCAGCAAAGGGTGATCCGACCCAAAGTGGAGAGTAGTAAGGACAAGTTCACACTACTTGATGGAGTCAGGGCTTGAGACGCGGGTTTCTCTTATCTATTTCGTAACGGGAAACTGAGGCCCCGGGGGCTTGTATTTGGACTCCAGATCCCGCCGCAAAAACCTAGAATTATCCTCCAAAGTGTCAAATCTCAGTTTAGGAATGTGTCGTGTTAGGACTTGTGACATATTTTCTGTTCAGGACATCCCCCCTGGCCACTATTCGAGGGCTAACTCCGCGCAGGGATCTCGGGGGGTTCCCTCTAGGCTCCACTCCAGCTCGGGTCCCTGAGATGTTTCTGCACGCTAAAGCAACAAACTACCTGAGCCCAGCTAGGGGATTCTACTACCTGTGAATCAGTGTAAGTGGGACGAGTGATAAGTGGCGGGGAACTGCCCCGCGTGCCCCGCACCGCAGATCTCTTATCCCTGCACCTTGAGCTAGAGGCTTGGGGAGGTACGTACCGGGTACCGCTCTTCGGCCGGCCCCACCATCTGTGCTGGATGACAGTGACAGCAACCACGACGGCAAAAGTGGGGCAGGTCTTGATTCATGCAACAGCAGCCCTCTCACCTGCTCACTGGATTGCAGCACTCTGGATTCCAGCTCCAGCAGCCGCTGGCGCACTTTAACTTTCTAGCCACCTCTCCCCACTAAGGGTGCTATCCAAGACCCCCTTTCCCCCCGACCCCACGTGAACGCGGGACTCAGCCAATGAGCTCCCGGGACACGAGCCGCGGCCAATAGCTACACTTGGCGCGAGCAGCACTCTGCCACGTGATCTGCAGTGTGTGGCGAGTGACAGGGCTGGAGTCCAGGATCTGGGAAGGGGACAGCAGGTCACAGTTTCATCAGGAACCGCGGTACCCACGCCAAGAGTTGGCGGCGATTTCCTACGGTAGAAGGTCCGGCTGTAAAGAGACTGATGGAGGAGCATAGGCTGTGTGCAAAGTTCTCCATTGCTAACAAAGTTCTAGCCAGATCACAGAATCCCAGGTGTGGAAGGCAGTGCTGTCTTTCCATTGACAAAAAGCCCCAGGGTTCACAGATGGCTGTGACCTTCTCAAAGTGCCCAGAAGCAAGTGTTCTCCACTCCCTCCCCATTTTGATTTTATCTGCATCTTCAACAGTAGAGTTCCAAGCATTCACTTAATCTTGCTCTGTGGACATTACTCTAGCAAAGTATTTCCCTTAGCGATGTTATCTGGCAGGACGTCACTCTCGTGCTCACAGTACTGCAGACTTGGCTGAGGATTAGAAAGGTGGGTGTATTTAGGCGACTGCCTGACTTCGGACTGATACAGTAGCCTCTGTGTCCCTGGGGTTCTGTACAGGAGCTGAACACTTTAGGAGCCAGTGACTCCTCTTGGGAAGTCTAAGGACCTGAGCAGCCACTTGTGGTAGGCTCATGGTTTTCTACCTTTAATGAGTAGTGAAATTTGGGGAAGTTGCTAATTGATACAGGATTGCCAACTTTAAAGAGTGCTAAGTCAACACACTAAAACAAACAACTCTGCCACCCACCCACCCTTTCTGTTTTGAAACAGCATCTTGTTATGCAGCTCAAGCTGACCTCCAATTTAACTCTGTAGTCCAGGCTAGCTGCAAACTCACAGCCTTCCTGGGATTATAGGCATGCGCCACCACTTACTGACTTTCTTTTTTTAGACAAAGCTTTTCTGTGTAGCCCTTGCTATCCTAGAACTAACTCACTCGGTAGACCAGGCTGTCCTTGAACTCAGTGATTAAAAAAAAAAGAAAGAGATAAAGAAAAAAAGAAAGCCGGGCGGTGGTGGTGAACGCCTTTAATCCCAGCACTTGGGAGGCAGAGCCAGGCGGATTTCTGAGTTCGAGAGTTCAAGGGTAGCCTGGTCTACAGAGTGAGTTCCAGGACAGCCAGGGCTACACAGAGAAACTCTGTCTCAAAAAATCAAAAAAAGAAAAAAGAAAAGGAGGAGGAGGAAGAAGAAGAAGAAGAAGCGGGGGGAGGGAGAAGAGACCAGGCTGGGTCTGGTGGAAAAGGTTAATTGGTTGATCGTAGATGTAGGGCAAGCATAGCCACAGGCAGAGACATCTGGGAGAGTGCAGAGCAAACTTGACCCTGAGCTAGGCTACGTGAGGAGAGGAGGGAGGGGAGAGGAGATACAGACCAAGAGACCAGAAGAATAAAGGGTAAACTAAAAGACTCAAGTAACAAAAATGTCTGGGCAGCTTATGTAGGGAAGGGCAGCTAGGGGAAGGGCAACCCAGCCCCAGGGCTGTGACGGTTAGGGTAGGGGTAGGGTACCTGAGGCTGAGAGATCCGGAAAGAACCAGATTGCCAGGTCTGCTTTGATATGTTAAATAGACACCATAGCCACTTGTTCTGGGTTTAGATCTAACACTCAGAGATCTGCCAACCTCTGCTTCTGCCTCTTGAGTACTGGAGCTAAATGTGTGTGTGTGTGTGTGTGTGTGTGTGTGTGTGTGTGTGTGTGTGCATGCCAGCTACCAGGCCCAGCTACCACAGACTTTTGAAAAGTATTCTTGCTTTGAGAACAACAGGACACAAGAAGGTCATTATTCATTAACTCATATTGGATGTATTAGACTTAGGGAAATTCATATGATTTTGGGGGGCATTACTCTAAGGGATAGAGAAGGAGTTTTCAATACAAGTCGGCATGCAAGATTATAATGGGTCACACTAATGGGTCACAATATAACCTGATACAAGTCTAAGACTCTTAACGGGGAGCATCTCCAGCCCAAGTATCAGGGCCCTTCCTTCTTTTCTAATGGGCAAATGTATAAAGGACCACCTGTGAATCTGCTCTTGCCAACTGAAAATCCCCTTGCATTAGCTATAAATCAAAAGTGAGTAAAGCCAAGTGCTGGCTACAATTCCAAATGAAGCGAGCATGCCACCGGAATGAGCCAAGACAGAGCCAAGAAGTATTGCAAAATACATGCAGGCAAAAAGAGTGATCAGACCCTAGCTGGGAAGAAGTTGGAACAGGCAAATATAATTTTTTAGTGCAAGGGTTTGGAATCATCTCTCTTACATACATCTAGGAACCCGTGGGTAATAATTTCCCCTGTGGTACAGATGACTATTTAAAATCAGGGGCGTGGGCTAAACTTAGTTGTGGGACACCACAGTCTTGGTAGGTCGGAGTGTGGCGTCTACAGGTTTGAAAAGGGCAGTCTTTTCCTACAACTAGAATAGAGCTGGCTGGGATGTATCTGGAGGACCTTGGGGCAAATGACAGCCCAGAATCTGAGAGCTGGCCCCATCCTTAGACAGGATCATGCCCTTTCTTTCAATGTATGACAATGAAGAGGAAAGCGGATGTGGACATTTTCAACCCCTTACTCAAGACACACCATCTAGTACTTGGCATTGAATTGGCCTTAGTTTCACTTATTAAACATCACCCCCTCCCAGAAAAATAAATCAAAAGACTTAGCAGTGGTCAAACATAGAAATGGCTCTTCTTCTACAATGTTCTTCTCCCTCCAATTCCCATCCCAGGCTGTCAGAAGCAACACTGTCTTCTTCCTTGCTCTGGGCATCTGGTTGCCTCAGTCCTTATTCACGTATTCAACAACATATTGAGTGGCTGCCATGCAAACATTCTCCATAAAAGGCTTGCAAACTGAATTCAAGCACACAACAAAAAGATCATTCACAGCCATTTGGTGGTGGTGCACGCCTTTAATCCCAGCATTTGGAAGGCAGAGACAGGTGGGTCTGCAGAGTGAGATCCAGGACAACCAGGGCTACATAGAGAAACTCTGTCTCAAAGAAAAAAAAACATAAATAAATAATAAATAAATATAAATATCATTCACTGTATTAGTCTCTCTCTCTCCATATATATATATGTGTGTGTGTGTGTGTGTGTGTGTGTGTGTGTGTGTATGTATGTGTATATATGTATATATCTGTAGTTAACTAACCCAACAATGGGCAGCTGGAATGGGAAATCTAAGAATCTAGAATTTGCTCAGTCCCACAAGGCTAGGTGATTCAGCTGGTCTTCTGTATAAGCTGGAATCCTGAAGAAGTAGCTTCCAACTGATGTGCTGGCAAGTAAGTGCAAGCAGGCAAAGAAGAATAAAGCCTTCCTTCTTCCATTATCCTTAAGTAGATCTCCAGCAAAAGGTTAAAGTTTACAATTTAAAGGTGAGTACCACCACGCCTGGACCTAAACTGCCAATGGTTTGTTCCCAAGATTCAGGGCTATTAAACATTTGCAACTCAATGCAACACACAAGAAAATAGACTCAAGGCCATCTCAGTAGACAAAGGAGAAGCTTTTTAAACAAAAGTTGGGTGTTGCCTGAGGCTAAGAATCTTGCAGAAACTATAAATTAAGGAATGTTACTATATAAGGGCTACATAAGACAGACCTATAACCAAGCAAATGGAGAAAAACTCAAATCATTTTCACAGAAATCAGAAACAAGACAGGTGTATCTACTAATTCCTCTACTCCTGTTTAGTCCTGCACTTACAATCTCGGCTCTGGCAGTAAGAAAAGAGGAAGAAATAAACATGCACACAGGAAAGGAAGGAGTCTAACTGTCCTAACTGTCCCTCTGATATGCGATTATAAAGACCCCATCTGAAAACTCACAATGATAACCACGCTTAGCACAGTAGCAGGACGTAAAATTAAAACATTAAAAAATAAAATCTAGTAGCCTTCTGTATACCAATGACTGACGTGCTGAAAAAGAGATCAGGCAAATATCTCCATTCAGAGTTACCTCCAAAGAAAAGAAATAAATACCTTGTAACAAATCTAACTAAGGAAGTGAAAGGGCCTCTATAATAAACCTTAAATTGCTGAAGGAAAACAAGAGAGTGTACTAGAAGACAGGGACCCCTCTCATCCTCATGAGCTGGAAGAATAAATATGAAAATAGTTATCCAACCAAAGACCATCTATATACTCAGTGCAGTTCCCACCAAAATTTCAACGTCATTCTTCCCAGAAACGGAAATGAACAAACAAATTCCTAAAATTCATGTTGGAGCACACATCCCAGAGAGCAAAAGCAAAGGGGCAGCAGAGGCCAGGCTGGAAAGGGGCGGGGAAGGGGCGGAGCAACCGGGGGAGGAGCCAGGAAGAAGGAAGATACATGCATTGCTTTTCATTTGTAGTTCTTGGATTTTATATAGGGACGTAAATCAAGTGTCTACCCTTGACATGAATGTAGAGTTAAAACTGTCTATGGAAACAAGACTACAGGAGGGGGAGGGGAGGAGGGAGGGTGAAGACGCAAAGCCGTAAGAGGAGGATGAGCTCAAAGTATGCTAAATATTTGCAGGAATGCGGACCTTGTGAAACAGAACTGTGCACAGTGAATATGTGCCAATTACAATGATTTTAAAATGGGGAAAGATGAAAGAAACACAATTTTATTCCCAAGAAGCACGTATGTAAGCTAATAAAACTAATAAATAATGATGTCCAGTAAATGTATATAAGATAAGTCTCTGGGTTCGGGATGTGGTTTTACTTTTCCTGGGGAGATATGAACGAATGTAGATTCAGTGACAGACAAAAGAAAAGATTCCTTCATAGTTTAGCTTAGTGAACCCATGAGTTTATGTAGCTTACTCACAGGACCAGGATTGAT